AACCTCGACTGTTACACTGTATAAAGGTGGCCATTTTTATGTAGGTGAAGGAGAACAGGGGGGAGAACCTTTTGGTTTACGACCACACAATTTTTTTTTACTAGATGGAGGTCGATCAACCTCCGTGGATCTTGCCCTTGATTGAGTGGGCAGATCTCTGTCATCAGAGTGAGAAACCAATGACTGAGGATGTGATCGAATGATCATTCTGCATTTAGGGGCCAAAGAAGGACCCGAGCAGACACCAGAGGATAGTGCCAGACGAGGTTGACCTAGGCAGTCACTGGAAAGTATAGTGGGGACAGAGATTGGAGTAGACATAGACCAGTCAACTCTATTATCCATGGAGGGCAGAAGACCCCTCACATGGTGTGAAAAAGACTCAGATGGAGGCACAGAAAGGTCTGTCTGCACCCCCACTATAGCAGTGGAGCATAGTGCAGTGGCATATGTCCGAGATGGAGTAGGGAACAATAGCTTCTGAGCCTCAGGGTAAGAGATGTTATTAATAGTCTTCAAACGCTGTACCTCTTTTTCCTCCACCCATTTAGGGCAAGACCTAAAGTAAGAAGGGTTGGAACCACTACAATTAACACAGTGAGGGTCCAATTTGCACTCGTAAGCATCGTGGTCCTTACCACCACAATGAGCACACGTCACAGAACCACGACAAGATATATTTGAATGACTGAACAGCTGGCACTGAAAACATCGGAGAGATTAGGAATATATGGCCGTACCTTACAGTTCAAATAATCTGCCTTAACAGCGGCAGGTGGACGTGGTGATGAAAACGTTACAATCAGAACAGAGGTCGGCACCCTAATTCCATCTCGACGAGTAGAGATCCTTTGAACTGCTGAAACTCCCTGGCTGGAGAAACCAGCAAGGATCTCTGACTCGGAGATGGTCTTCTAGTCCCTCTTGACAATAACTCTTTGTGAGTAATTCAAAGAAGCATGGGGAGTAACCTCAATGGGTATATCCCCAATGGTCTTAAAATTCTTGATGTTTCCACCAAGATATCCCCCAGAACGTAGCTTCTTGACTGACTTTGGAGAGCCAGCAAGCCCCTCTAATTCCTTCTGAATAAAAAGGGAGACATTTGCCCTAAAGATTTATCAGGCAAGGAATGCAAGGTCAGGAAGTGAGGTGCAGGCGTACTTTGTGATGGAGACTGCTGTTCCGAGTCTTCAAGCCGTGGATGTTTACCAAATAGCAGAATTGTTACTATTTTCTTATTTGGATTTGGGGGATCCATAGTAAAGGGAAAGACTCAGTGCCCACTGACCCCACCCTCCATGGAGTCCTATGAGGGAACGCACTACAATGTAAAACAAAGACACTGCAGCAATGCCAGGGTTTCGTGAGCACTATACCCAAGCTCCAGCATCATACACAATGTCCACAACACACATTGAGAACACCCAACACTGGTACTCAGTTGACCTCAGCCCAAGTGGACCAGCCGAATGACCTTGTGGGGCCACCCCAAGGCCACCTGTCTACAGGAATTCAAGGCCAAAGTGGTGTGTTGCAGTGCCCCAGACACTAATCAACCACCAGGATCCTCTCCTCCCTTTCACTGGTCGCCAGCTGTTGGATGTTTTTGCAGATAATAGAATGCTTCATAATGTAGAGAATTGGAAAAATCCATCTGTATTTGTTTTTGTTTTGTTTTTTCCAACTGGTATCTTCTCATTTTCAATGTAATAGCCCTCTTATAAGCATAAAGAATCCCATTGTGCTCCAAACATCTTTTTTTTTTTTCAGGTTGTATGGAGCAACTATTTGCCATGATGGTTTTTCTTAACTATCCTTGAACCACTTAATAATTATTGTTGAACTTGTATCTCTTTCCTGACCATCATTTAGATGAGCATTGGGCTACATCAGTTCCTCATCATCACTTATGGATGCCAAATCTTTGACTGTCCTTTGTTCTACTTCAGGCTGGTAATCTTTTCTCACAGTGTTTACACTATTCATTAACATAGCCTTACGGATTACGTATTAGCATTTCCATGGTTCCATCCAGGATAAAGCACAATGTTAAAGCTTACTTTTGGAGTTTTTGGAGCCAATGCTATCTGGCTTTCTGGGTTTGCAAAAATTCCCCAGCCATTTCAATGCTGCATGACCTGTTTGGAGCATACATTTTTGTCCAAAGAGATAATGATGAAACTGATGCAGAGCTTGAACAACATTTAATAGGTCTTTTTAGTTGTACAATACCTCTCTTCTGTGGTATTTATTGTCTTGCTATAGCAAGCAACTACATGTTATTTTCCATTCATACTTGTGACAAAAGTTCCCCACTGCAAAATCACTATCATCTGTATGTAAAATGAATGGGTCTTTCAGAGCTGCTTAGGCTAATACAGGATTAGCAAATCATTTTTCAGTTTGTTGAATGCTTCTTCACAATCAGTATTCCAACAAAATGTATTTGTTTTTTCAAGTAATTTGTGTAGAGGACAAGCTATGTCAGAGAAATATTTTACAAAACAGTGATACTAACATAAGTGATACCTTATGTTAGAAGTGGAATTATTTTGGTGAAAATAAAATAGAATTTTGACTAAACTTCAACTATGAAAATGGTGACTATGAGGTCAAGTACTGAGAGTGAAATGTTATGTAAGATGATGAAATTATTAAAAGTGGATACATGGAAGAAATATCAGTGGGTTTTAGTGGAGTTGAGTCTGACTGTATTAATGTCACAAGTAGGGTACATCAGGGCTCAGTGTTAGGACCTTCGCTCTTTTTGATTTACATCAATGACATAGATGAAGGAAGAGTCAATAGATTATTTAATTTTGCTGATGTTATTTGTCTCTTAAGCCATTGCTAATGGTGTGGAAAGTAGGATTTAGGGTTGCATCTACTGGATATATAGAATACAAGACTAAAGAGGATACAAGATAAATAAAAATTGGGAATTTAAAAACCTGCAAATAGGGATCATAAAAAAATGTAAGGAAACAAGGCTGGAGCTAGTGTAGACGTTATTTACTCCAACTACAAACCCTTATTTTGGTTCTGTGCTGTTACCTAGAATTCATTTGGTGGAGTCAAAATATGGATTTGTAGTTTTAGTAAATAATGTCTACAGTATCTCTAGCCTTGTTTCCTTACATTTTTTTTGCAATTCCTACTTGCAGGTTTTTAAATTTCCAACTTTCTACTTATCTTGTTTGCTGGATTTTTTTCATGCTCAACTATGGGCAAAGGATTGATTTATATGATAGCTAACTTCATACATTGTAATGATAATAAACATAGCTAGTAGCTAGCTGATACAGTTCATGATGATCTATTGTACCTGTTGATTATGGCAAAGGATTGCTTTATATGGTACCTAACTTTATACATTGTAATGATAATAAACATAGCTAGTAGCTAGCTGATACAGTTCATGATGATCTATTGTACCTGTTGATTATGGCAAAGGATTGCTTTATATGGTACCTAACTTTATACATTGTAATGATAATAAACATAGCTAGTAGCTAGTTGGTACAGTTCATGATGATCTATTGTACTTGTTGATTATTTGATCTCATTAGTTTGGGATGTAAAATGTTAAGTTGGAGATTGTCATGGAGATTTGTTTGAGAATATTTAGCATTATTTATAGTTTCTGTGTAACTAAATTTTCTATAT